AGGACATGAGTGCCTAAAATGAATTCCAAATTCTTGCAACGAGGTGGTGAACTTTCATATTCACTACCCCAATCACTTTGCACTATTTTTATTTTGCTGTCAAACTGTTTTTCTGCATAATTTTTTAACTGAATAAATGCATTTAGAGCTTCATTTTTAGATTTCAAGGGAAAAATCCAAGTATACCTGCTATAATCATCTAGGAAGAGTATGTACTATCTAAAACCATTCATGGAGACTAGTAGGGCTGGTCCCTAAAGGTCTGTATGTATAAGCTCTAGTAATTTGGATGCACGGGAGGTTGAAACCTTAAATGGTAGATAGTGCATTTTTCCATATTTGTAAGATTCACAAAAGAAAGAGTCATCCTCATTTCCAAAATTTACTTTAAGATTACATTCACTAATAAGCTTGTTCAAAATTCTATTACCATGATGACCAAGTCTACAATGCCAAAAACTTTTATTGAAATTTTTAGTCCTAGATGCTGAATCTTTGACTCTTTTTTTTTGCTATGTAAACTAGAGCTATTGTCCCATCTTTCTTCTTTTCACAGATTCTGAACATACCACCATCAATTTGTTTTCCCTGAAGCATAATTTCCCCTGTTTCCTGGTCTTCCACACAAACACCATGTTTATTAAATATCACATTAGCATCATTGTCAGAAGCCACTTTGTAGAACTTAGAAGGTTCTTTTTAATTTTAGGAGTGTAAATAACATTATTCAGTTTGACCTTCTTTTGATCAATATTCTGAACAGTGGCTGAACCTATTTTTTTGACTTTCAGCTTAAAACCATCACCAACAATAATATTCATCTTACCAAAGGGAGTAGCAGGATCATCAAGTTTGGCTAGATCCTTAGTGACATGGCTTGTTGCTCCACTCCATATACTAGGAATCATCATTAACAGTCTCTGGAGTTGCCCAATAAGCACTCTCGTAATCAGAATAGGAGTTGGAACCTTTATTGCCTTTCGTTTTCTTACTTCCAAGTTTGACAAAACATCTATCATAGCGATGAAAACAAGTATCCACTGTGTGACCCACCTTATAACATAGCTGGCATCTGGGAGGAGCATCATCATTGTTGTGGTTGAAGCATCCACTGCCTCTGTTGTTTCTACCTCTGCCTCTTTTGTTACGGTTTCCTCGGCCTCCACGCCAAGAGTATCGTGGAGCAAAGTTGTCTTTAGCTCTAGCAAGGTTCATCGTAGTTGAGTTTAGTGACAGCTAGGATAGTTGATTGAGTTGATCCATTCTACTCTCATAAGTGTACAGTGAGGTTGGCATGTCAAACCAGCTCAGATCATCAGCTTTCACTTGAAGTTAACTTGCCCTTAATTTGTCGTTTTGGGGTTACTCCAAAAATTAACCAAATTAATATAATATAGTGCACAATCCGGGTTGTATTCACTTTGAGGAGCCGAAAATGGAATTAAATTCTAGTAAATAAATACAAGTAACCTAAACTATAAAAAGGGATTTTTGATTTTGAAAAACTGTTAATTAAATACTACGAATCAAATTAAAATAAAAATATTTTTTTTTGTTTTTATATAAAAGTGATTAAAATGAATGAAGATTAAAGAAATGAAAATGAGACACACAAGTAACAATGATAATAATCAATCCTCCAATTCAACAATGTAGGCAATCGTCACCTTAAAAGATGTGGGAGTTAAAAACAATGAATTAAGAATTATAATTAAGCTTTTAATCCAACAACCGAGCTACCTCGAGTTGCCACAAAATATTTTCCTAAAATCCCAACTTACTAATTGCAACCAGAATAGTAAACTGGGATTAAGGATGCTAAAAACCAATGCTTAATTAGAACTCTTAAATCCAAAATAACAGAATTAAAGCTAGCAAGAGACAATATGATCCAAAATTCTAAGCCACCTTAGAAAATCACAATATATTAACTCCAAAATCAATACAAATGTCATAACCACAACACTATAATTGAAATCAAAACTATAAACAGCTCAATGTCAAATGCTAAGCAATAATTCAGTCACAATAATCTCCAAATATAATCAGATTAAGCAATACAATTATCCCAACAATTAGAAAAACTATCATAAGACCTAGGAATTGTTAAACAATTATTAAGTAAGAAATTAAAGCAACGAAAACTCCCCTTTGATGATCTAAGCTCCTGTCATTGTTGTTGAATTGGAAGATTATGAAATTAGCCACGGACAGCCATCAAAATTGCTGTAATCAAAGCTCTGTTACGGTCTGCCATGGAGGAAATGACGGAACAGTGGATGATTTCTTTCTTCTTCGTTGCTGGAAGCAGTGAAGAAGAAGAAGACAATGCCGTTGAGCCTGCTGGTTTTGCTGCGCCCAGGAGAAGAAGAAGGTGAAGGCGCCGGTGATGATGGATTTCGGTGAATATGGAAGATGATAATTCAAAGTGAAGAAACAGAATCTGGAGGTGCAATCGCTGTTAAGCTCTGGTCCTTCACTCTCGGTCACCTCTCTCCCCTTCGTTCTCCCTCTCTTCTCCGTCGTCGCTGGTGCCCCCCTCGTGTTCCGCCTCTCAGCTAGCGTGTGTATCCCCTGCTCGTGTCTCTCCCGTGTGTTGCTCTGTTTTTTCGTCGCCCCCAGCTAGCGTGTGTGTGTGTTTCGTGTTCAACCTCTCCTCTCCGTCTCGTGTTTTTGCACTGTCAAGTTGGTTTTCTTTTGCCGTCAATTCCCTCCAAGATGATGATTAATTGGATATTAGGTTGGGGCAAAACGCAACGTTTTGCCCCCTTATTATTATTATTTTCTTTTTTCTTTTTTTTTTCTTTTTTTGAATCTTCTAAGAACCTGCAAGCAAAATTCAAAGATAAGGTAGCATTAATTGTCCTAAAAAATCAATTAGTCACAATTAAACCAAAATATAACAATTTTACCCCTATAAAATAATAATTCAAAATAAAACATATTAAATCAATTAATCAATCAATTAAGGTCAAAAGGGACTAATTAAGTTGACAAAACCCATATAAAAGATATCAAAATATATAAAAATAATTAAGTTTGTCAGTGACAAAGTTGAACTACAATGGGATTGTATTCAGTGTCAAGACCGGCAACAGCTTGAATGATGAGATCTGAAAGCTGCAAAGGACTTCCAGCAACAGTAAGTTGATCTGCCAGAGCTTTCATTTTGGATAGATATTCACTCATTCTCATGTTTCCTTTCTTGGTGTGTTGCAGCTCAGATCTAAGCATGAGGAGGGTTGATTTTGTATGAGCACTAGCCATTTGCTTTGTAGCAGCCCAAAGTCCAGCTGGGCTTGAAACATTTGTCATCTCGGATGAGACTTCCAAGGTCATTGTGTTGAGTAACCATCCGAACAATAGCTGATCCGCTAACACCCATTCTTCAAACTCTGGATTCAGCTTTGTTTCATTTCCTTCAGTGAAAAACTGAGAAGGGCATTTCTTAGTGCCATTGATAAAACCCTCTAGCTTATATCCTTTGATTATGGGCAGAACATGAATGACCCAGACTGGATAATTGGTCCTATCCAGCTTGACTGAACAGCTTTGGGTCAGGGTGTTGTTTTTCTCAGTCAGCTTTGCAATCAGTCATGGCTATTAACCTCAGTGGCTCTGATACCAAGTTTAAATTGTAGGAAGATGAAATATTTTAATGAGGCGCACTGTTCACAGGCGTTTGTATTCAATAAATAGGTAGGGTAATGAACCCTAGAATGTACAAATGAATGCCACGTATGTACTGTGTAAAAGTTACAGAAGACTCTAGAATATTAAATAATAGATTGCTATCTACAATTGGGTCTATTGTTAATGGGCTTGGACTGAGGATAATATAACGCTTTAACACTCTCTAAGATCTGCAACAAAGGTATTGAATCGATAAATATAGCGAGCTTGCCGTACTATTGCTTGCACCAAATCTTTTGCAGTCTTGACCCTTGTATTGAATCTCAAGTTCGCACCACTCGACATTGAAAGCAACTGATCAACCTGAATAGAAACCACAATGCTAAGTAATTAGAAGGTGATTGATGCAGTTATTAGGCCAAGTTCTAATATAGTGTGTGAGTTACCTGCTTCATAGCCTCGTCACTATCTTCATATCTCAGTTCAGAATCTAAACCGAACATGCCATTCAACCCTGGGCATCCCGTTACAACTGCTTTATCCAGTGGCAGCTTGCGAACATAATTTTCTAGGCTAAAGCTGATGATATTTTTCAAGTTAATGAGCTTGAGTATTTTCACAGTTGAAAGGTCGATGCTGATCTGCTTTTGATTTTGATTTTTTTCATTATTACCATAGCCAAATACATATTGCAACTTAACAGCATCTTCTATTTCGAGACTCTCTAGCTGCGAAAGACCCCTAGCAACAGAGATCGGTAACATGCATTTCAGATTTTCACATCTCTTGACACTGATTTTTTTCAAATTTGGGAGCAGAGGCTCCACTGATATATCTTCGTCGTTTCTAACTTTTATCATATACCTCAATTTACCACAGCCTGTTACTTCCAGTACTTCCAACATCACCATATTTTGAGCAGTGGTTGTGGTGAAGAGAGATGCCAATTGGCTACAGTTTGTTATAGATAGCTCCTTTAATTTATCAAAAAGGCCAGAAGGAGGTGGACCATGGCATAAGGCCTCCAAGTGCTCCATGGCTTCAATTTTCAACTCTCGCAAGTTGGGGAAGAGGATTCTAGTCTGATATAGTTGATCCTTTGTGGTGTCAATCAGCCATTTTATGCAATGAGAATCACGAAGTACAAATTCTTTTAACTCCTTCAAACATTCACGTTGTATTGGAAACATGCTAGGAAAGATGCTTTCTTTATCTCCCTTAATTTTTTCAAAGGAAAGACCCTCTAGCGTCTGGGGCAATGCCTGGAATGCTTCAATTGTGATACAGGCATCCCCATTATTTATATATATGAGTTTAGACAATGAATGATCCCTGGAAGCATTTTTGGAACCTCCAATTTCTAGATGCTAACTTCGTAGGTCCTTAAAGGAGCCAATTTGGTGAAAAAATTCAGCCATGTTCTGAGCAGTTGGCACCATTTCTGGAAGATGATTTTCAACAAAATACAGCTCTTCCAAACGTAAATATGTGGCAAGCACCTTATAAGGATTGCCTTCTATTTCGCAGTTCGATACCTCCAACAATTTTAATGACTCCAGGTTTGCTAATTCTTTAGGAAGCTCTGTCATTACGCAATCCAGTAGTTCAATAGTGTGAAGCATCTCAAGTTTTTCAAACATAGAGATATTGATTAATGTGCATCCTCTCAAGCAAAAAGTTCGAAGCATTTTCAGTCCTTCAATTGATGGAAGTAACAATAGATCTGGTTTTGTTTGAATAGATGCATTTTTTATGGCCAGCACTTTCAACTTCATCAACTGTTGGAAAAACATATCTGGGAATTTTGATGGGCATTCACCATTATTGGACACAATTAGTATCTCCAGTTCTGGGCATAACAACTGATCCGGAAATTCTTCTGCACCATGGCAATACAATCTATTTGTATCTTTCATACAATCTGCCTGGGCTACAAGCTGTCGAGGCCCCGTGATCACTTGAGTTTTTCCCTTCGCTTCCCACAAAGCTGAAGCATGAAACATGTCATGTAATTTAACATACCGTCCCTCCTTGAATAATAAACAGTGGTCCTTGAATTTATCAATGGCTGTACGCACTCTGTTCCTAGCTGTTTCATATGAATGAATATCACGAAATATGTCCAACCCAAATGCAAATCTAATCATAGCTTCAGTTGCAATTTCTGAGTCACTGGGCCACAGAGCACATAATAAATCAAGTGATATCTCTTTTGCGTCCAACTCATTAATACTATATTTGAGACATCTATAAGGATCTTCCAGTCCTTTTTCAATATTTAGAGGCCGTCTACGATCTTTCAATGTTCTCAATCCATCTTTCCACGCATGAAGTTCTTTGTCTTTCAAAGTTCTCGCCACTGCTTTGATTGCAACGGGTAATCTGTGACATTCGTAAGTGATCTGTTGAGCCACTTCTTGGAATGGGTCTTTTATTTCACCAGCATACGTTTTGAACAATTCCAAGGCTTCCTCATTTGTTAGTAGTAAGAGATCAATCGGCGCATCGAATTTCATCATATCGAATATTTGTCGCTGACGTGTACTTAGAAGAACCTTGCAATTTTCACGAACAGGAATCCCTATGTCTCTGAAATCAAGAAATTGCCACACATCATCCAGGATTACAAGATATTTCTTATCCTCTTGAAACGCCATTAACAATTTTGCAGCTCTATCACGCACATATTTCTCCGTCTTAAATGTCAAGCCTATGCATTCTGCAATGCTTTGTTGAATAGCATAGTAACTTGGATTACTGGACACAACCGCAAATGCTGTCTTGAAAAGCTTACGGTCTTCCACTTCCTTACGCACTTCTTCTAACAAGGAAGTCTTACCACAACCCCCCATTCCATGAAGCCCAATTCTGATCTTCTTATCATCCTTCAGTGCCCTTAAGATTGCATTGCGCGTGTCTTCTGTGCACTTAAATGGAATGAAATCTTCTGATGGGCACACGTACTTGAGTGATTTATGACGAGAAAATGGTAGCTTTGGCCTCAACTCGTTATTGAGCTGCTTCATTGCTTCCGTCTTCTCTTTTGCTTTCTTTCCAACAAGACATCGACAGATCCAGTTAGGGCAAACCCCATCGCAGCAGCTTTTCTTTGCTTCTGCTTCCTCCTTCAGCTTGCTCACTTTGTCTATGAGTTCATTTGCTTCCTCAAACTTCCTCTCAGTGTATCGTGAAGGCTCTTTATTGTTAGCTTTGTCTTCGTTAAGTTGGCTTTGCACATCATCTCTTATTGATATTAAGTCTTCTTGTTCTTTACGCAGCTTTGTAGCAAGATTGTTGAATTCATAACAGTAACAAGCTTGTCGTCCCACTGCCGTCACTATACTTACTGCAAGTCCAGCCGCAAAATTGACTCCACAGTCTGTACCCGCCATTGAGAAAGCAATTTGACCTGAATGGGATCGCAAGAACGTAAGCCATTCATGCAATAAAAATCCAAAGACAAAAGAAGCATTTGAAGTTGAAAGCCTATGCATGATATATCAAAGCTCTGCATCTATTTTTTTTTTTTTGGCCAACAAAGATGAGGATCTTAAACTTTGTCTGTTTTTTTTTTTGGTCTTATATGTCTTATTATATATCTAGATTTTAGTCCCGCAATTATTTTTTTTAGATTTTTTGGGTTCAGTTAATGGACAGACTTGTATTAAATCCCATCTTAATTACGAGAAAAAATTTTATTATAAGCAAAAACTACCCAATTTTAAGTTGTATTAATGTAGGTTCCCAATTGGACCTCTATTCAAAATTACAACAGATCCGGTGAAAAATAAAATACTCCTCCGGTTCTAAATATAAATCCCTCATACACACTAGTATAAGGGTCTTACATTTAAGACCGGAGGAGTATAACATATGAATAGTGAGACTTGCTATAAATAATCATCATTTCTGATGCGGCATTTCAAGGGGGAAAAAAATAAATTTCATGCATAATTTAAAAATAACTAACTTTCTTAAATCTTCTAAAACAATTATTTTTACTTGTATGAGATTGAAGGGGGTATTTTATTAATAAATAATAAAAATACAATTGAATATGATTAAAGAAAAAAATAATGATACAAAAATGTTTTTAAAAATACTAAATGACAAATCAAGGTGGATGAATTTTAAAACCATAAATCAAAGCTATTAGTTTGTACTATTTTATAATTTTTAACTATTGTGAAATGACATGAGTACTTTTATATGGCTATTGACTAATTTAATTTTGTTATTAATTACTTTTGTTTTTATAGTTCTAGTGACAATTTTTATGTAGTTATTAACCATTCTAGTTTTGGTATTGATTACTTTCGCTTTTAATTTGGATCTCCATGAGGAGTCAATTAGTGAAAAAGTTTATTCTAGTCCTAAAAAAGATTATAATTTTTTATTTTCACATTTATTATTTTTTTCCCTAAACTACCCCAATCAATTTCATATAATAATATGTATAATGGATCAGAACATTTTACAATGTAATTCATTTACAGAATGAGTATTTTTTTAAAAAAAATTAATATGCTTTTTAACAAATAACTAATTTAACTAATTTTTTAATTCTCATAAATTGATTATCAAGTTCCTATATTTAAAACCAGACATGAGAGGGAGTAGTGTGTGTTGATAGGTTCCAAGAACAAGACAAAAGGAAGAAAAACAAAAAGATAAAAAGCAACAACCATAGAAAAACAATTAGAGCATACTAACCTTTTACTAGGACCTTGTTGATCTGTAGAAGAACAAAGCAACTAACCCAGAGAAAGCTAAATCCAAATACCAACAAAACAGGCCAGAAAACAACTAGAAAACAAAAGGGTCGAGGACTTCCATAAAAGTCAAGGATGGATATAAATAGCAACGTACACAAAAGGATATGAGAAAATTCTTTCAAAATGTAGATATATACCTCTTTTTTTTGGAGATTTCAACTCTGTTTGACGATGCCTTCAACATAAAACGTCCACAGGAAAAGGAAAAGAAATCCACCGAAACGAAACTGAAAATAATTGAGGGATCCGAATAAAGGAATATTATTAGACCATGCTGAATATTGCTGATGTCCAATAATAAGAAAGCAGAAACGTATGTGTGTAAGCTTTCATTACACGCTTTTTCCTTCTGTAACGATAACTACGTGCATTTTCTTCACATTAGGCAAGTTTCATAAATGGACGTTTCCATATAGCTTACCACGAATAGTGAGGAAAGGGCCTCTCCACTTCCCTTTCCTCCCATTTCTATCTCCTTCTCACCTTTAAGATTCCAATTTAAACGGTTCAAATTTTTATATTGTAAAAAATAATTTTATAAAATATTTTTTTTTTTTAAAATTATTATAGCTAAAATTTAGTAGCTTAATTTTGTTTAGTTACTTTTTAATAAAAATAACAATGTACTCATATTTTTATTATGAAATCTAAATCATTTAAATTACAATCATCCAGTTAAGATGGGTAGTAAAGGAAAATTGGGAAGGGAAGTGGAGAAATCTCTCTCCCTAAATAGTGTGACTTGCTGGAGATTTTATTTACATCGAAGAAGTGCTACCATGTCATAAACACAAAACACGCTAAATGCATAATAAACATAGAGGATATAACAGATGAGACATAATGGTGACATGAATCGGACAAAAATATATGCTCACCGTTTTTTTTTTTTTCGGGAAGTCTTCCTTGCCTGTCTAAATAAGGAAGGCTCCCTTTTTTGGTGTTCTGTTTTTTATTTCTTTTTTTGTTTTTGTTGATTAGCTGAATATCAAAGGGAAGCTAAAATAGTGAAGAATCAAAGCAGAAAGAAATCCGGACGCACAAACTGCAGAAAGCAAAAGGGGAATACTAGTATTCAGTATGTAACGATAGGACGGGTTGGACCGGGCTGAGGGGAACTCCTGTAGATGCAACTGGAACAAAAATGATATTTTTAAAAATGATTAAAGACCCCAAAAAAAATAAAAATACAAGAAAAAATTGATAAAGAAACATGTATTTTTTTAGACAGGGGATGCTTGAAAATTGTGTAACACTACAAGTTGTTTAATGGTGATTGGCGAAGAAAAGATTAGGGATGAAGATATTTAACAAACTGAAATTTAACTTTAAGAAATAAGAAGCAGATCTAAAATCTAAAAACTATAAACAGCAAGTTGGCTTCAATCTTCATCTTCAGTTTAATCTCTTCAATTTCGCTCAGATCTGACTATCAAACACTCAAATTACCCTCATCTTGAACAGTTAACCAACCCAAGAACAATGAAGGGATGAGAGGAAATGAAGAGAGAGAAACAAGGAAATGATGAAATGAAGTCAAGAAAGTGAAGTGACTACCAGAGTCTGGAGAGCATGATGGGGTTGAAAAGTCATAAGTAGGGAGGAAAAAAGAACACCAGACCGGGTTAGACCATTTGGGCCAGAAGGCAAGCCCAAAACTGGTCTGACCCAATAGTTTAACCCAGTCTGGTCTGCTTGCTCCTTTTGTTTTTTCAGGCTAATGTTTTTTAGACCTGGGTCGGTCAGCTTGGGGCCGGAACGGAATTTTGTGAAAAATAGTTCAAATTTCATATTATAAAAAATAATTTTATAAAATATTTTTTATTTAAAAAAATTATTATAGCTAAAATTTGGTAGTTTAATTTTATTTATTTAATTTTAAAAAAAATCAACAATGTATTCATAGCTTTTTATGAAATCTAAATCATTTAAATTACAATCTTATAGTTAAGTAAGATGGGATGGGAAGTGAAGGAAAATTGGGAAGGGAAGTGGAGAAATCTCTCTCCCCAAATGGGGTGACTTGCTGCAGATTTTATTTATCTCTAAGTGCTACCATGTCATGAACACAAAACACGCGAAATGCGCAATAAACATAGAGGATATAATAGATGAGAAATAATAGTGATATGAATCCGACAAAAATATATGCTGACCTTTTTTTCTTTTGTTTTTTTTTTTGGGAGTCTTCCATGCCTGTCTCGAAAGGGAAGGCTCCTTTTTTTTTTAATAATTTTTTAACATTTCTCTATTAAACTATATATAATATAAAAGGGAAGTCTTTTATCAATCACAGAGTAATGATAAACAAAAATTTAAAAAGATTAACGTAGATTTATTATAAAATAATCTATTTTCCTCGGAGATGAGATCATAATAACTTTTGGTTTTATTTTACATAGTATATATGTGTACTTGCTATATTCTTGTTTATAAATGACTTGGTATCCTAAGCCCTGCAAATTAAAAAATATATTAAATTAATAATTTTTTGAACTTTTGACTTTATTAAAAAAAGTATTATTAATATATTTATATTTTCTCCCTCTCATTTATTTTATTTTCTCTGCATTTATTAAGTTAACAATGATAAAATTAAAAAAAATCATTAATTACTTTACAAATGAATTATATTTAGAAGCATACTTTTTTTTAACAAATAATTTAGGAATAGGAAGAGAGCAGTAGATATTAGGAAAAATCTTAAAAAAGAAAGACCATTAAATTTCAAAATTCTAAATCAGAAATTACTATAAAACTATGCTGTTATTTGCTTTTTGAATGTCATCATTTTTTTTTTACAATTAAAAATTTTGAAATTTAACAGTCATCTTTTAAAAATTTTTAGTAACAAATTTTCTATAATCTGACAACCTGTCACCATGAAATTAGTGACAATATAAATTAATGTTTATGTTTCGTTGACCCACTCTTCTCTGACTCGGTGTTAGGCAGTTCTTTTTCACTCCCGATAGAAGGTTTAGGAATCCCAATTAAACGAGCAGTTTAGGAACCCTATCTCAGAACCAAAGTATGCAAAGCTCAACTAATATAATTACCTAACATTAACCTGAAGGAGCGACCTCAAATAAACATTCACACAAGACTTCTATGGTGCATGATTATTTCATCACGTATAAACAACACAAGTATAATGCTTACGATATATACTTTCTCCCTAGGTGATGAACAATAAAGTATATAGGCACTCTACATTTTCTTGGTAGCCTGTCCTCTATTTGTGTGCTCGCTAATTGTGAAGAAGTTTCCCATCCAAGTTGAAACTTGACAATTGAGTTTATTTAAAGGATTTCAATGTATTTGAACTCCATTGTTGAACTCTTCAATGAAAGGACTAATAATATGACAACCACCCAATAATAAATAATAAAACGTAGAAAAGTACGTAATATAATGACATCTCTCTTGCCTACGTCCGGCCTCATACCCACATTTATATTTTTTTTTAAAAGAACATGAGTGAATTGTATAACAAAATTTATTTCTTTGTATCCTATAATTGACTAGAGAGAGGGAGACGTGCAAAAGTTAATTAAATAAGTATAAAATATTCATAAATTTAATCAAATATATCATGATTTCCAATAACTTGGACA